AAATAATGATAGTCAATATACATACATGGAATGTGACAGAAATTCTACTAAATAACTCTAAATATTTTACATATTTTATTTAATCATCAAAGACTATGATATAGGCAGCACTATTTTCTGTATTATACAGGTAAGAATCTCTAACAAAGAATTAGTCATTTGCCCAAAGCCATAGAACCTGTAAGGGTAAAGAATTTGACATCAGATAAGCTTGATTCACTTTGTTCACATTTCAAGTCAAAAAAGGACTGTACAGCAGGATCTGTATCTACCAAGTAAGCAGGTTAATCAACATGAATGCAACATCAGAACAAATTGCACAATTCTTAAGTCTTTTTTTTTTGAGACAGAGGCTCAAGGTGTCCCCCTGGGTAGAGTGCTATGGCTTCACTGCTCACAGCAACCTCCAACTCCTGGGCTCAAGCGAGTCTCCTGCCTCCGCCTCCCAAGTAGCTGGGACCACAGGCACCCGCCACAACACCTGGCTATTTTTTGGTTGCAGCCATTATTGTTGTTTGGCGAGTCCAGGCTGGATTCGAACCTGCCACCTTAGGTGTATGTGGCTGGCGCCTTAGCTGCTTAAGCCACAGGCACCAAGCCAATTCTTAAGTCTTAATCCTTAACTAAAAGGACCAAGAATACAACAAATGCAATTCTCAATTCATATTTTACAACTGTCTAACAAAAATGCTATTTCTATTACTGAAATCTTATTATCTTCTCTGATTAATTGCTGCTAGGCCAGAACATTATATTCCACATCCTCCCAGTAAATTGCATTTAGTATCTTTCCAGAAACCAAACTCTATTTCCTTTAGCACCAACTGTAACAAACCTAATACAGGAAAATGGATAGAAATTGAACAATCTCTAAAAACCTAACAGCCTCCCTACAATGTCTGTCTTGCTTCCTTTTTCATGTATTCTATTGATTATTTTTACCTGATTTCTAATCTTAAACCATTCATTTACAGGTCTCCCAAAATTCCTTTGCTGAATAAAGTAAAAGAAAATAAAGATTAGAAAAAGAGACCAATTAAGTAAGTTGAAGAGACCAATTAACCCATTATAATTACTGTAGCTAATCATACAATTATGCTTACCTAAAGATCTTTTTCACCAGTGAAATTAATACAATGGGGGGGGAGCGTTGAGACAAAGTTTCACATTGTCACCCTCTGTAGAGTGCTGTCCCATCACAGCTCACAGCAACCTCAAACTCTTGAGATCAAGTGATCCTCTTGCCTCAGCCTCCGGAGTACCTGAGACTACA